TTTTCATCGCATCCCACTGTTACATGTTTTTAGTATTTGTTTATGATTGGCCACCATGGTACCGCATTTGTTATATTTTGTACACTTGTTAACGACTAGTGGAGTCTTGTCGAAACGTCGTGGGTGATAGTAGTCCTTAAAGACTCCTATTCTATGAGGTTGCTTGGATTGTGAGTATATCAAAAGAAGTTACAGTTTTTAAAGTTTCGTTTCTGCACAACAGAAGGTCATTAACGTGTCCAAACCACACCCCTATTCGTCATACTTCCTCGTGTATATAGGACCATGTCAAAATCCGTATTCGTGATACGATGCGTTAAGCCTATTGACTGTTTCTTAACAAAAATCTATAGAATCAACTGAGCCATTCACTGTGATATAATCAGTTCAGCAGCCGGAAATAGAACCCTTGTTTCTCCGTTAAATATTTATAAAGAATTTAATCAGAGCGATGCATTTTGGTCATATCAGTTTGGTTCCATTTTATCTCTGGCTTCTTTTTTATTATAATACCGAGATCATAATGGCAATACTACACATTCATTCTTACAGATTATAGGTTACATGTTCAAAATAACAAAATTTCAAAAAGTTTTCATGGAGCCTCTAAAATGAAACGCAAAATAGCTTGAATAGATTTGACAAGTCCATGATAGTGAAGAAATTGAGGCTTAAAATTGTAAATTCGGAGTTTGAATTTACTATTATTTTAATCCATTATAATTTCATTGATTTTATATAGGAATCCATATCTATCATTCTGAGACCGCCATTTTTATTTTTTGTATGAGAACTTTTCTTGAGATTTTCTCTGTTTTTCCCCATATTAATTTATAAAAGATTGTGTTAATTTCTGAAATAAATTGAGAATTTGGAGTAGGTAAACTAGTGAAAAGGTGAAATAATTTTGGGATCAGAAAGGTTTTCAATACACAAATTTTTCCAATTACAGTCAGATTTCTATATGTCCAGTCATGAGATGCCCTTTTTAACTCTCCAATTTTTGTTTGAAAATTTAGTGAAACTGTAGAGGGAATATCTGTGCTGAATGTTATTCCAAGAACACTGAAGTGTTTAGAAGTCCAAGTGAGATTTAGAGTTCAATATTTCGATCCATCGAATAAATTCTAGTGGGAAATTGAAATAGCCAAGTACATTTTTCAAAAATTTCAATGAAAGAGAATCGAAAGCTTTCAAAAAATCAACAATTAACAGAATTCCGTCAAGGTTCTCTTCTTCAGTATATTTGATCAAATCGTATAACATTCTTGTATTTTCCGCGATACAACGCCCTTTAAGGAAACCCATTTGATTTTCATTGATAATCTTATCGAGGTGAACTTTCATTCTGTTTGCCAAACAGCCTGATAAAATTTTATACGAGACGTTCAAACGTGGTATTGGTCGCCAATTTGATAAAAATTCTCTAGGTTTGTTACTTTTCGGTAAAATAGTGATAACCCCTCGTCTAAATGTTGTTGACAGGATTTCATTCTCTAATGAGTCATTATAAGCATTAATAAGATAATCTTTAATATCTGTCCAAAAAATTTATGAAATTCTGAGGTAAATCCTACGGAAGCGTATTAGGGCCATTCATTTTTTTTATTTCTTTAATTTTCAAGTTAGTATGTTGAATTTTCAAGTGAGTAACTTGAATTTTCAAGTGAGTAACTTGAATTTTCAAGTTAGTATCTTGAATTTTCAAGCTGGTATGTTGAATTTTCAAGCTAGTATGTTGAATTTTCAAGTTAATATGTTCAAGTTAGTATGTTGAATTCTCAAGTTAGTATGTTGGATTTTCAAGTTAGTATGTTGAATTTTCAAGTTAGTATGTTGAATTTTCAAGTTAGTATGTTGAATTTTCAAGTTAGTATGTTGAATTTTCAAGTTAGTATGTTGGATTTTCAAGTTAGTATGTTTAATTTTCAAGTTAGTATGTTTAATTTTCAAGTTAGTATATTGAATTTTCAAGTTAATATGTTCAAGTTAGTATGTTGAATTTTCAAGTTAGTATGTTGAATTATCAAGTGAGTAACTG